GGCCCTGCATCGTCTCCCTCGCCCTAGAATGGGGGTTGGACAAGATGACCCCGTGGGAGCATCAGCCCAGGATTCTCACTCAGGTTCTAAGATGAAAGGAGCTCATCCCCTCCTCCCCACCCAGCTTTGAGCCTGAGCCCCTTGGCCCAAGTGACCAGAGTGGAGGGTGGACTTGGCCGGGGGCATACGGGTCAGAAATCAGCCTCAGTTGTCCCCGGATAGGTGGCCTGACCCAAAGGGGCTCCTTCCACTGCCTCACACCACGGGCAGCTATGTCATTCATGACCACTAGGACACAGGCAAGCGTCCAGAGCTTGTCCACATGGGGCGAGGGTGATGTCAGCCCCGCCGTGCCCAGCGGCTGCAGGGCCACGCTGCTAGGCTGGACGATCTGCTGGTGTGGTGCTGCCTGCCCAGAGGAAGGGATGCCTTTTCTGCACACAAGTGCGCTGCCTGCTTGCCCAGCCTTACCCCCATGGGTGCTGAGCCTTGAGGGGAGGGGCGCTTTATCCTAATTCACACAAAGGTGTTTAGGTACAGGCCTTTCCGGAGCAGGCCACGGGCGGGCAGCCCAATTGGGCAGGAGGAGATGCCCAGCCACCCCTCTCCACAGTGGGCTGCCTTGCCCCCTCTGCCCCTGGCTCCGGAGCCACCCCAGAGCAATGGAAAACATTTCAACATCTCCTCCCCAACAAGTCATTATAATAAAAAACATACTGGTTCCCCAATCCCTTGCCCACAAATCCTAACTCCCAAAAGTTCTGAAAGCTCAAAGTGTTTTTTGTAACGTATTTGGCAACCACACCTGGCCTGATCAAACATCAGGCTGCCTATGGTCTTCATGTTTCCCACTTTGGGTGAGTATTCATATTATTGAGAAGTACTAATGTGTTTGATCCACACCTCACTGGGTTGTATATGATATGGGAATGTGCATAGTATTTTATTACCTTTCTAAAAACACAAAGTCATATAAACTCTGAAAGACAAATGGCCAGTTTTCAGATAAGAAATTCTAGATCTGTAGTAACCAGCACTCAGTATAGGCCTTGTAATGTCCCAGACACCGTGCTTAAGCACTTCACAAGTATTGACTCGTGTCATCCAGCAAGTCAACGTATTTCCATTTTATAGATGCAATGGAAGTCTGGGAGGTTCAGGAACCTTGCCAAAGTCACATAGTTGACTAAGGGGTGGGGCCAGGGTTTGAATCCTGCTCTGAGCCCTACACTGTATAGGTGGGGAGACTGAGGCCCAGAGGCGAAAGGAGGCAGCTCAGGGTCCGTCAGTGAGTCCACAGGGAGCTGAGCCTGGGTCCTGGAGTCCCCCAGCAACTTCCCAGGAGCTCTCAGCTCAGGCTGAGTTTGTCCAGTCCATCGGGAGGAATTTAAAAATAGGATAAGTTCCCGTGGAAAGTTTTCAGATTTCACTGGATTGATACCAGCTGACCCTGTGCACACAGCCCCACTCCCCAGCAGGCGAGGGGCTGGGCTGTGCGCTGAGGTCCCCATGCCTGTTCCCAGCCTGCCCCTAGGGAGGGAAACTGCCTTGGGGACTCAGAGAGGCCAGTGACCAGGACAAGGGACAGGATGGGCTCCAGCTGACGGGAAGGGATGGGAGACCCCCTTCTCTGCTGGGAGAGAAGTGTCCCCAACACTCACTGGCTCCATCTGTCCTCCAGTTTCTGAAGACAGGCAGAGGACTCAGAGCATTCCCCCATGCCTGCCTGTTCCGGTAGTTTCTGTTCTTACACTGACCTGTTCTCCCGCAACTTCACTCCTCTGTTTGTCCTTTCGTGGTCCTACAGCGAACGTACAGAACCTCCCCGATGAGGAAGGCTGGCTGCGTGAAACACTAGGGCACAATCCTGCCCTTGGAAAGCTGCAGTCACACAGAACAGGCACCGCATCAGGGCAGGGGGTTTGTACTGGGGACCCAGGAGCAACCCTGGGCTGGTCCGGGAGGGGAGGAGCAGGAGGGAGGAGGACCAAGGGCCCTTCGGGGCCGGGGACAGGCTCATTCCCCCTGGCAGGCTGATGCGCAGAGAGGGATCGTGGTGAGGAAGCAGGTGGAGTGGGCACGTGCCCTGCGAAAGGGCCTCCCGGCTCCACTGAGCTGGTCCTGAGGATGCTGGGTGGGCAGGAGAGGATTTCATGTCTTCCTGGATCCAGGCTGGTCCAGGAAGACTCCACGCCTGCCAGAGGCCACATGGAAGTTACCTGAGCAATTTCTACATCAGTCTTCTCTGGGTCAGGTCCTGCTCTTGTCACCTGTGTAGACCGGCCCCTGGCGCAGAGCCGAGCACTTTGGTAAGAGGTGGCTGAGCCAAGCTGCCCTAGGTGCTGCCACAATCTCCCCCATCCTAAAAGTCCGTCAGCTGCTCCAAGAAAGATGAGACCCTCAGGGAAATCTGAGCCTGAACCGGACTCAGATCTTACATGATACTAAGAAATTATTATTAACTTTATCAACAAGTATGACTCTGTGTTGTGGTTATATAAAACCAGCAAACTCAATCTATTGGAGAGAAAAACTTAAGTATTTATGCGTAAAAGATATATGACGTATGACGTCTGTGATTATGTTAACGCGCACACACACACACACACACACACAGGGCCCTCCTGCCCCCTCAGTCCTGGTACTGCCTGCTCTGCCCCGGCCCATCCCAGGCCTGCATTTGGCAGGAAGGGACAGTTAGCCTAGTCAGGCCAACAAGAGGACACTCGGCCTGCCTGTGGGCTTGGTGCCTTGGAGGCTGCTGAGGTGAGCGGCCAGGCCCCAGCCCCGGCGCCCACAGTGAAGCAGAGAGTGGTGCTCAGTGGCAGGGCCCCATGGTTGCCATGCTCTCTGAGAGCAGATCTTGAGCAGTGGTCCTGGCTGGATACAGAGCCCTGGGTTGATGGCTTCCAGAACAGTCCACGGGCTGGTCACTGGTGCCGGCCATTGCCATCTGGCTGCTGGGGAGGTCTCAGGTTGTCTGAGGGCCTACTGAGGCACATCTCTGGCCTCTGTGTCACCCGGGCTTGGCCTGTGAACTGGCCCAGAGTGTGCCTCACTTGGCCCATTGTGGGGACGGCAGCGATAACCTGCACACCTTGCTCCTCCCAGCTTCCAGAGCCAGGGGCTACTGCTGGGCAGCCGGACAGCGTGGCAATGTGGAGAAATACTACCCACTGCTGACAGCAGCCCTGGTTAATTATCACAGCAGGAGGGAAAGCAAGGTGAGCCTCCCGGCCTGAGGGCGGCAGACCTACCCCGTGGGGCCCAGCAGCCAGCCCTGGCCAGGTAATCGGGGCGGCATTCCTGCTGATTCCTGCTGATCTCTCCCATCTCCACCCAGAGGCTGAATGGAGAACACAGCTTTTCCGAGCCTCCTGAGCTGCCACACACAGCCTGGGCAGGCCCCCCAGGGCCACAAAGCCCCAGCCGCTTGACTTTCCCAGGCCCCTCCCACCGGAGCAGGGCCCAGGGGGCAGCTCCGCAGTCACGCAGAGTCAGCCTGGGAGGCCGCCTGGAGCCCGGGCCTCCTGCCAGGAGGGTGAGCCAGGGGCAGCTGGGCTCGGGAGCCCTCCTCTGAGCCTTTGCTCGGGGCTCGCTGCCATCGTCCCCACTTCCTAGTCACCCTCAGGCCTGGCAGTCCAGCTCAGGGTCCTGCCTGCTTCCACTCTGGGGCCCTAAAGAGCCATTTAGCGGAGGCCCAACTTCTGACGATGGAGTAGCAAAGGGCAGGCTGATGAGAGAAGTTGGAGAGGCCAGGGGCAGAGAGGCGCTGCCAGGGGCTCCGGCTGTGAAATGAACTCCAGGAGTGCAGGGAAGCTTTCCCCACCCACGCCAGGAGTGGCAGGCCGAGTGGGCAGGCAGGCAGCTGTGACCCCCTAGCAGTGACTCTTGATGACCAGCATTGCCTTTGGGGAGAGTTTCCAGGGGGTCTGGAGGCTCTGCAGCTGGGCCAGTCTGCAGAATGGTCACACCTGCTCCAAATGAGCTCCAGGAGCCCAGGCCAAGGGCAGAGCCGGCGCTGCTGGTTCCCTCCCAGGCTCTGGGAGACCACCCACATGGGCTCTATCAGCGCAGATTGTTCTCCGGCTCTCTGGCTCTGCACATCAAACCCAACAATCTCCAAGTTGCTCTGGCCGTCTTTTCTGGAACTGCCTAGTCCCAACAGCTGGCCTGAGAAGACACTGGACCACAGGGAGGGACGCAGGAGGTTAAGCAGAGCAGAGTAAGGTGGCACAGGGCTGAGAGGCTCCTGCCGGGCTAGCCTTTGACCTTGAGGACACCACTTGCTGAGAGGAGCCCCAGCCTGAACTCCAGTGGGGACTGTCACCTAGCACTTGCTCTGCCCTTGATTTCTTTCCCAAACCACCCCCTTCCCAGGTTCTGGGCTCGGTCCCAGGGGAACTGTCTGCTGCTGCTCACACATGTTCCATGAACCTTGGCTCATGCTGGCCTCCACATGGGAGTCCCTTCACGGGCCCAGTCCCCCTGCAGCCGCTCCTCTGCACATCTTTCTGGAATGTGGGTCCTTCTCCCTCGGGGCTGCATTGTTGGCGTGGTCTGGTCAGGACACAGGCCTACAGTCTGACTGTCCCAGATTCAAATCCCAGCTCTGCCACTTCCCACCTGGGTGACCTTGGTCAAGAGACAGAAGCTTAGTTGCCTCATCTATAAAATGGGAATCATGGCCACTTGACAGGTTGTTTTTTTAACAGGGATTAAATGAGACATGTGTGACATGTTTTGTGTGGGCCTTGGTTCACAGTAACGCTGGTAAATACAGTGATTGTGGCCACATTGTGGTGGTGGTGGCCATTGCTCCTGTCATTATCCCTGCAAAGAGTGCCGGTTCCCTGAGGACAGGAACCCTGGCTTTTTGTCTCTGTATTCCCTCCCTGCTCGCCCAACCCTGCAGGGTGAGTGTGACTGGCTCAGGGTGGAGGCCAGTTCAAATCTGGATCAAGTGGAAGGCAGTGGGGTCCCCTGGGGAAGGCAGGAAGGCCATGGCGTTTCCCAGCAGTGCGTGGATAGAACCCAGTGGCTGTGTGTTGCTCTGAGCTGCAACCCCAGCTGCAGCCTGATGGCCAAGCTCCCTCTGCAGAGCCCGGGCTCAGTCAGGGCCCCTCCTGCCGGGAGTGCTGCTGCCCTCAGGGTGGAAATGGACATGACCTGTGGGTCCTGGACACCTTGCTTCTCTGAGGAGAGGTGGCACCCTGGCTCCTTCCTATGCAACAAACATTCCTCGACACCAACTGCATGCCAAGCCTATTGCTAACTGGGGCCTGAGGCAAGTCCCATACCTTTCTGAGTCTTGAGTCTGTCATCTATCAACTAAGCACTCTATAAATTCCTGGCTTCAAAGAGTTTTTGGAACATTAAATGAGATAATAAAGCACAGAGCCTGGGATGGGGGGAAGGGTAGTTTCAGCAGACACGAGCTTCCCCATCCCCACCCACCAGCCCTGGTAGCCCCCGTCCTCAACTGGTTGGTAGCAAAGGATCCTGGGGAGAGCCGTGCCCTGGTCTGAGGAAGGGGAGGTCCTTCCAAGTGCAGGCTGCTGTCTTCCTGCCTTTGTGGACAGTGGCTCAGGTCACCTTGGTCCTGTGCTTTGTCACCTGGGGCCCAGGAGGTCCATCCCTGGGGAGGAGGGGGACACCTGCCCTTCCCCCCTCACCTCAGAGGCCCAGCCCCTGACCAGTGTCTGATTCCTATGTTTAGAAGGCCCTGTCCAAGATTATGCTGACCAAAGGCTGGCTAGAGGTACTAGAAAACCCCCTTCAGCCCCCAGATCACCTTGGCCTTGGGCCAAGCCTGGGATACCTTCCCTGGCCGGTCCACCACCCAGCTGCCCTCTGTGAACCTTCAAACGACCAGTTGGTGCAGGCACCATTTCCCCCAGGACCAGCTGCATGTTTGAGCAGTAGTCTCTTCTGGTTTATCTGGAGGAAGGAAGATGACGTCACGAGGTAAACCGCACAGCCTGAAACCACGAGGCCGGGTACCCCGGTGATACTCGCTTTTCAGCGAGTCACTCGTGCACAGAGGGACACATTGCCTGGGCCTTTCTGGTCAGAGAGTGGCTGGGAAGACAGAGGGAGATTTTTAAACACAGAACCACAAGAAAAGAGAGGGCCCCAGAGAAGATGAACGTCAGAGGCCAGGCAGGGTGGCTTCCAGGTGCTGTGGGACAGTCAAGTGGACTTTGTGGCCACTCATGAGGTGCTTGGTACCTGAGGTTCTGATGACTGTATTTACCATGGTAGGCATAATGGGTGATAATAATATTGATGATAGGTACCACTTATGTGTGCACATTACCCAGTTAGCTCCTCAACAGCAACCCCCTGAGATCAGAACCCAAGAGGCTGGCATGATCCTGTGGACATAGAGGGGAGATGAGGCTGGTGGACCTCTGCTCTGTGCTCTCAACCTTGAAACTACAAAGCTGACTTGCCAGCAGGCTGGGTGTCTGCCTGCCCTGAGGCCTGGAGCTAAGCCCTAACCCCCAGCTGCTAACTGTGACCTGGAGGAAGCCCCTTACCCTCTACATGCCTCTGTTTCTTCCTCTGCCCAGTGTCCTGCCTTGCAGCTAAGAGATTTCCTAAGATGAACCCTATCCTTCAGTCTCATTTCATTACTTTGTCTATGCTCTGAGCAGGTTTTTCTGGGGAAATTGGCTCTAAAGAGTAGGCTGGGGCACTGGTCCTGGTGGGCTAGTGGGAGGGGCTGGAGGGGGACGCCCTTCGTGTGGACAGCTTGAATAGGAAGAGCTGTGTGGGGAGATCCAGAGAAGCCTCACTTTCTCAGGAAACCAGAGCTGCATGAGTTGGGGGTGGCAGGTGCCTAAGGGAAGTTCCCTGTATGTCTGAGTGTGTATGGGTGAGAGTGTAAGGGCAGGCGTGATGCCCACCAGGGTAGGTAGTGTCCCTGATCCTGCAGCCAAGACGATCCATGCACAGGTGCTGCCCAGACCCCAGGCCCTCCACCTCAGGGCGGGCCACAGCTCTGGCTCTGACATCCCCTGAGGGCCTACAGGGACTGCTGTCTCAGACAGGGGACCGACAAGAGGACGCAACACAGGGAGTTGGCTCAGCTCCTCTTCAGGGGCCTCCTGATGCCTGGCGCTCCTCCACTGGAGTCACAGCTGCCTGGGCTGAGGCCCATCCTCATCAGTTCTTTTCCTGATAACGCAGGTACCCCGTGGGAGAGGCAGCACCTCGCGTCAGTGCAAGCGGATATAGAGACTTCCAGCACGAGCCTCTCATTATAAGATGAGAAAACTGAGACCCTACTGGGAACAAGATCTGCCCACTATCACATATTAGCTGACAGACATGCAGGAGCAGGAACCCAGGTAGCCTCTCGCACGTGGGGGGTTTTCCCTCCTCTGCTGCTGCTGTTATCCTAATATGAATTACCTACCAGATCCTTTCCAAGAGGGTGAGCTGAAGGTTGAGGAGCACTGCTGTGTGGGTGCAGAGCTGTGGGAGGGCCGCCGGGGGCCAGTGCCAGGGGAGGCCCTAGAGACGTCGCCTCTTTTGCCACTTTCCAGGGCCAACTCAGCACCTTATGTGGGAGGATTAGTCATAAGCAACTGTTTGACCCCAAAAGTTGTAGTTCACTGGGTTGTTCACAGTGATGCTTTTCTGAGTCATGGCCCAGGATGACACAAAGCTTTGAAGGACCAGCTGGAGGTCCCGTGGCCCCTGCAGCTGCTCTGGGACTCTCTTGCCTGGAAGCCTCTTGCCTAATGGCTGGCACTTTGAGGAAAGAGCTCAGTGGGCAGGGGGCAGGGCGGGCTGAGAGGCAGGCCACTGCGGTCCAGACCTGCACATGCCCTGGAGGTTCTCAGGGTCAGTTCTTCCCTGGGTCAGTTTCCTTGTTCATAAAATGGAAGGTCAGACCACATGGTCTCTGAGTTTCTTCGAAGCTGGCTTCTGCCCTCCAGGGTGGTTCTGGCTGGGCCATACCACACTCCTGGCCACAAGAACCGCTAGAGCTTGGAGCCGCTCCACTGACTTCTCGTGCCCTCCAGGTCTCCCCGGGCCTGGCTCCCCAGCCCTCAGAGTCACCTTCTGCTTTGTGCTCTATCAGAAGGGAGGGCCGCAGCATGCCCAAGCTGGAAGGCCTCCCAAATCCACAGCCGAGCCCACTGATGGGTCCCAAATGAGCGGAGGGAGGTCACGAGAAGTCACCCCCACCTCATCAGCAGGCCCGGAGGAGCCCGTCGGGAGGCCCCCAGGTGAGGCCTGCTCAGCCCCACCTCCACCTAATCCACTGCTCAGTGCCATCACCTGTCACCCCTCTTCCTCCTCGGTCCCAGGCCTTTTCACTCACACTTTCTCTGAGGCTGCAGAGCCCAGGAAGAAGGCGGCTGCTAGCCAAGCGCCTGCGCAGCCTAGGGTGAGTCTTTGCTCCCACTGGGCCTTTGTCCCTGGGCTGCAAGATGGGGCGCTGTGACACCTTCCCGCAGGCTTGGTGCGAGGAGTCAGTACATAGGTACCCGCGTAGTGAGTGCGCGGTAAATGCTCCCTCCCTCCCTCCTTCCCTCCTTCCTTCCCTCCCTCTTTCCCTCCCTCTTTCCCTCCCTCCTTCCCTCCCTCCTTCCCTCCCTCCTTCCTTCCCTCCTTCCCTTCTTCCTTCCTCCCTTCCTCCAAAATTTGAAATGACTCACCGTGGAAAACACAGATACAATAGGCCTTTAAAGTAAGGTTTCTTTAAACAACAAGCCTGGGATTGAAAAGGCGAGAGCTGTCCCAGAATGTTGGGCCGAGCAGGCTGTTATCTGACGTAAGTTCCGGGCACTCTTGGCCAAAAGGTAATGCTGTTGGTATCAAGCTCTCCTTTTTTGATAAGAGGAAACATATCACTTCTCAGGAGAATAGAAGAATTTGCTAAGTCAACCTTTATAAATGACATTAAGCTCTGCAACTGGGAGAAACCCCCCTTGCCCCCCCTCCCCTGTTTGAGCCCCTGAGAACCTTGGGGGTGCATCCTTCTCCATCCCACTGCCCACCTCTAGGACCTGAGGAGGCCTGGGGACCGGGAACCGGAGCTGCTGCTCCAAAGCAAAGCCCTCAGCGGTCCTGCAGAGCTGGAGCTGGCAGCTCCTGGGGAAAAGCCAAGGGACCGAGACGTGAAGAGCCTTTCCTCTGATGCGGAGTGAGCCCCCTCCCAGGGGTTCCGTCCCAGCAGCCCAAGTAAGCACCCCCGGGAGGGGGCCTGGGAGTGCTCACTGAGAAATCCCACAGCTGCCCACACACCTCCCCTTCTCTCAAATGCCAGAAGGATTCCTCCGGCAGGCAAGGGGAAAGGTGAGAAAGGCGCTCTGTACTGAGTCACTGGAAAGGTTATGGGACCCAGTGGGAAAAGGCCTCATTCCATCTCCTCCAGGACTTCTGAAGGCAGGCATGGTCCAGGTGTGGCCAGGGACCATCTCCACAGACTTAGGTAGCACCAGAAAAGGGGCCTTATGCCTCCCACTCTCCCGTCTCTCCCTCCTCTTCCCCCACCACAGCCCGTGCACACGGTCTCCACAAGCGTGCTGCCAGCTGGCTCAGGGAGTGATGGGAATCTTTTTCCTGTTCTGTGAGGTTCTGCCTCACTTGCGAAAGAGCCCCCAACTGCATCCACCTTTTAGCTCGGGGCTCCACCTGAGCGCCTGCCTTAGTCTCCTTCCTAATCGAGCTCCCAGGGTGCTTTCCCACAGCCAGTGGGCTTGTCCCTAGCTGGGCCCTCTTCGCAGGGAGGACTCCCCCTGCTTGCGTTCCTCACTGCAGAGAGCAGGCAGAGGAGCCCACGGCGAAGTGCGCGGTCCCTCCTGGGGCCACTGTGCAGACGCCCGGGGCTGCAGCTGCCCCCGAGCACTCCGTCTCTGTTCATCTGAGCCAGCAGGAGGAAGCAGAGAAGGTGGCCTGGCAGCCGGCCTGGCAGCCGGCCTGGCAGCCTTCCCTGCTGGCTGTGGAAATGTCTTTGGTGGCAGGAGGTAACCATCCAGGACATGATGATTCGCCCACATCGAGGTCTACCCGTACATTGGTCATGAGAACAGTTTGCCCAGAGGGGTTTTTGAGGGCTGATGGTAGACGTGTGAGGGAAGTCCCAGCCGGTCCTTGGACCCATCATATAAAGCTGGTATCATGAGCGGTAAAGGAGGGGAGTAAGGGGTTGGGTTGGGCCAGCTTTGGATTTGGACTTGGGGCTAGTTAGGTGGGCAGTGGGTGGACTTTCCAGGCCCTTTTCTCCAGCCCCACTCAGTGCTTATCGCCTCATACCTGGACCTTGCCAATACCTTCCTCAGGGGCCTCCCTGCCCAAGCCTCGCCCTCTAATTGATCCCCCGACCTTTGCAGCACTGCTTCCTGAAGGACCCTTAGACTGTGCTCTTTGAGCTGATCAAGGGTCACCTCTCCCTGGCTCATAAATCTTCAGCGGCGCCCTATTACCTGTGGGAACTGAAGACTCCAGGCCTCGCAGTGGCCTCAGTCACCCTGCTCCCCAGTCCCTAAGAGAACCCCCTGTCTCAACCAAAGACCTTGGGCTCTTCTGGTGCTGGGCCCCACCTTCCCCTGGAATCCTCCTTTCCCCCTCCTCAAGGCACAGCCCAAGTCCCACCTCTCCAGGAGGCTTGGCCTGACTACCCTATCACAGTGGAGAATGGTTGTGTCCGGAAGCAGGACCCTCTTCTTCCTGCTCAGCCTTCCTTGTGTGCACTGCAAACCGCTGCTTAAGACACCCTCCTCCAGGCCCTCTTCACTCTTGGCATTCATTTATTGGGGAAAGAGCCCAGTTTTGGAGCAAGACAGGCCTGGGTTAAAGTCCCGGCTCAGCTCCAGTCCCATTAACTAGTTGCAAATCACTTAACCTTTCTGAGCTTCCATCTTCCACTCAATAAATGGGACAAGGCCTGCCCTGCAGGACCCTTGAGAGTACAGGATGCTGAATAGCATCTGTTATTTTGGCCTTCCCAGTGTCCATTCCTCTTTCTTTTGATGATATCATCTGGGTTTGCTGGTGAGTATGGGAGACCAGGTAGGGCTGACCTTACTTTCTGTTACTAGTGTGAGTGTATGACCCAGGCCTGGCCATTGAGAACATTCCCTTGCCCTGGCCACAGACATAGGTGCCCAGAGATAGACATGAGACTCAAATCAGGCTAGTGGGAATTACACTTGGGACTTGGGGTTACTAAGACTTTCTTTCCATGTTAAGTTAATTGGCTGAGAGTACTGCGTTCCCCCAAAAGATATGTTCAAGCTCTAACTCCCATTGAATGTAATCTCATTTGGAAATACGGTCTTTGGAGTTGTAATCAAGTGAAGAGAAAGCCACACTGAATCAGGGTGGACCCTGATCCAGCGACTAGCATTCTTGTACAAAGAGGAAAATTGGACATGGAGACACGCTGGGGCAAGGCCATATGGCAACAGAGGCAGACAGGAGTGATGTATCTGCAGGACAAGGAACCCAGGATTGCCAGGAGCTGCCAGAAGCTAGGAGAGAGGCGTGGGACCCAGAGCCTCCGGAGGTGAGCAGCCCTGCTGAGGCTGAGATTTCAGACTGCTGGCTTCCGCAGCTATAAGAGAATAGCCTTGTGTGTGCAGCCACCCAAGTCTGTGGCGATTTGTTAGGGCAGCTGCAGGAAACGTCTGTAGCCACCCGATGGAGAGAGTGCCTGAGGCCAGCACTGTGGAAATCAGGGCTGACTCCCCGGATTCCTGGCACCATGACAACGCCTGGATCCAGCAGTGGCTGAAGCAAGAGGTCTACTGGACTTCTCAGTCACATCAGCCAATATACTCTGTATTTTACTAACGCCGTTTCAGCTGAGTTTCTGTCTCTTTCAACTGAGAGAGGCCTGACTATACAGAGATGGTGAGCATGCACGTGTAGCATGGGCCTGACTGATGGGAAGCCCTGTGCCATTACTGTCACCCCAGCTGTTTCTATTCCCAACTAGACTGAACACCCCCAGAGCAGGAGCCACTCCTCTGTCTGTGGCACAGGCTGGGTTCCCCGGATGCAGACTCCGAGAGAGCATGCAGGGCAGTGGTCTTGGGATCAAGCCCTGTGGACAAGGGGGGCAAGGAAGTGAGATGGGGAGCTGAGCAGGATGGCCGACGGCAGCCTCAGTGTCCCATGGCAGTCTGGGAACTGGAACTGTTCTCCAGAGCCATTCTGCTCTCGGCCTTTTTTACTCTTGGGTCCCTATCACTGCATCTGCACTGCTCTGGGACAGGGTGAGTTCCGGGGGAGCCCCTCCCCATGGCAGCCAGCTGACTAGCACCCCCAGTGGCTGGGGCAGCAAGCCCTTCCCCCAAGGACTGGGCTGGCCACTGCAGTGCCCGCCACTCCCAGGGCATGACTCATAGCCCAGCACTCAATAACTTGTCACTGTTGAAAACATTCATTCATTCATTCATTCACTCAAAATCCAAGGTGTATGGGGCAAGTCAGGGGACCTGCTGGTTAAGAGTTGATGGAGTCCTTCAGGAGGAGAAGACTTGGGAATCGGAGGTGGGATCAGAGGTTAATAGAAACACCACACAGGGCCAGAGAGGATGTACCTGTTGGGTGTGCCTGAGATTGGTGGTATGGCCATGCCCAGTGCCAGCCCTGAGTAGGTCTAAGTCAGTGCTGAACGAACTGGTGGCTGACTGTGCAGTGGCCAACATTTCAATTGCTTCTCTTGAGAACTTTAGGCTTTTGGGGCTATACAATTTCTCTTCCTTTCTTATGTTGATTTCTTTGTGTGCAGGGGGGAGTCTGAAGGCTGGCTAAGCCTTTAAAGCTTCTTTTCTTGAGTCTCTTCTGCCTCCTCAGGCAGCAATTCTACAACTATGGTGATGTCCAAGCCCCAGGTAGGGGCCTCCTGCACAGGCTTCCCAGACCCAGGGCTTAGTGAGCCATCTGTGCATTCCTGGACCCTGGCTGCCCTAGCCCCTGGCCCAGCCCCTCCTGGGAAGCCAGGCATTCCTTCTTATAGGATGATAAACCAAGACTCAGAGAGAGGAAGCTAGTTGTTCAAAGTAACAGTCAGTGGCTGTCGCCGGAAGTGGGACCCACTTCTTCCTCCTCGGCCTTCCTCATGTGCAGTGCAAACTGCAGCTCAAGGCACCCTCCTCCAGGCCCTCTGCCTGCAGCTGCTTCATGCACATGGTGCCCCGGGCACAGCCTCCCAAGGACAGGGCTTCCAGGCAGCATGTGTAGTCGCCCCCTCCCACCAGGGCTTCTCCGGGAAGCAGAGGCACAGCCAGAAGGGCCCTCTGAGGCCTCTGTTGTCCTGCCCACTTCCCCTGCCACAGGCAATTGAAAAGTCAAGCCACACGGTGAGGTGTCAATGGGCTAGAACCCAGGGGTTGTTCTGTTCTTCCTGAAGTCTCCCCTCTCTGGGTTTACATAAAACCATCAACTCTGTTTTATTTTATCACCTATATTTTCTGATTTGCTCTTTTCCACATCTCTCTGTGGGAACTGTTATTATTCCCATTTTCCACTAGAGGCTCATGGGGCCCATAGAGGTTAAGTCACTCAAACAAGGACCCCGCAGTTTGAGGTTGGACTGGGATTGGAGTCCAGTCTGTGGCCCTAGAGTCCAGCTTCTTATCACCCACCTGCACCACCCTCTGCCTGACGCCTCCCCTGGCTGGGTGCTCACGCCAGCGCTCACTAAATCCTTGTGCACGGCATGCGGCAATGCAGGCAGGGTGCTCCCTAGGTCTGAGTTCAAATCCAGATTTGATGCTGACCAACTCTGTTACTTTAGGTGAGTCAAACTCTCTTGAGCTTCAGTTGCTCACCTGTAAAATGGGGGATCTGATCCAGGCACATATTAGGGGCTGACCGAGTATTAATTTCATTGTTATTATTACTCTCCCACCAGAGCCCCAGATGGAAGCCCTTCCCCGGGAAAGGCTCATCCTGCTGGGGAACCCGCGCCCCCACCGCCCTCCTGTCCTTCCCCCCACGGGGACCCGTCAGCAGGCACTTTCAGGACAAGCCTTCAGGTTCTTCCTGGCTTTGCCCAATCGCTGGGTCCCTAGAGCAGAGAGGGTGCTCCCTGGGGGAGAGGCAGCTCGGGCAGGACCCTGGGAGAGGCCTGGCCACACCAGACTCAAGAGGGGCCTTTGAGATGAGGACCACAGCCAGGAATGGGCGGGACGGAGGCATGTGGTGGTGGCATGTGGGTGCTCCGTTTTCAGCTTAAGTGAGGAACTGCAGGCACCACCCACCTGACCACCGGCCACAGCCTCTCCAGGCTCTTCTGTTCCCAGTGTCTGCATCGTGTTCTTAGATCTTAGGCCTAGTGCCTGTAAGGACTGGAAACCCTGCTCTCTAGCCCCCTTTTCCTCCTGCTCCTCGGGGCTGCAGGAATCCAGGCCCTGGCTGGAACCTCCTCCCTCTTCCGCCTTCTTTCTGGCGATCTTCTCAGCCTGAGTAGCCACCACTCCTGCAACTCTGAACAGTTCCTGGGCTCGGGGTGCTGGCAGGACTCAGATGGCCCATGGTTCTGGCCCTGCTGCCCTTTTCCAACTCCAGGCGACATGGTTACTATTTTATAGATGAGGCCCAAGTCCATGCAGCTGTCACTGGGCTGCTGGGATCTGAGCCTGGGGACGGGCTGACGCCAAAGGCTGCCTGAAGGATCTGGAAACGAGAAAGGGAAAAGAAGGAAGGGGAAAGATACCCAGCTCAGCCCATAAGCAGAATGTGTCAATTGTTTCTGGGGCAGGGTCTGCAAATACTTTTTAGCATCCCTTGAAGGACATTTAATTACTTAGTACAAATAATAATAACAGTCATGCTTCCACTGGGCTTACTTTGTGCCAGGCACAGCTCATGACTTGTAACTTGAACTGGTCCCAGGGTTGAGAATAGAAGGGCCGCCCCTCCCTCAGCAGCAGTTCTGGCCTCTCCAAAGGCCACAGGTCTCAACCCCTGGCCTCCCTGAGCCGGACCTTCAGTTTGTCCAGCTGTCACCTCCTCCCCTGAGCCCAGGAGAGGACAGGACAGCACTGCACCAGCTCCTACCTGCTCAATGGGCTGGGCTATTTCACCCTCATTAAAAAGAAAGGGAAGTCCTCCCCCCTCTTGGGATCTTCTCAGCCAGCCAGGCCACCCAAGACCTCCCATCCCCACTTTCACAATCCCTGCCAGTTTCTAGGTCATGACCCCATTTGGCCTTGGCATGGACTCTTGGCCAGATTCTTGGCCTCCACTTGGGGAGATTTCGGGCAGTCTATCCAGATCCTTGCCTCACACTGTCTTGACCTTTCCAACCCTATGACTTTCAGCCTCTCTTCAGCAAGCCACGCTGTGGCCAAAATCTGAGCCCTCACTGCACCTGGGGGTGCTCCTTTCTTTAAAATGCCCTGTCAGACTGCAACTTGCTGGGCATCCTGCTCTCCCTGATGGTGCTCTCTCCCTCCTTTCCTCCCACATCCCCTCCTTCGTCCCCTTGCGGCCCTAGGACCCCTCCCTTCTGTTGCCACTCACTTGCATTCTGTCCCCTCCCCACCTGCACCACCAGCACCTACCAAGACAATTAAAAAGAAGGAGCACCAGGCTCTTCACACTTAGGAATATCAATACACAATTTCTAAATAAAATATTAGCAGATTGAATCAAGCATTATGTTATAAAAAGTACATGCTGGCCAAATAGAATTTTATTCAGGAAAAATGATATGGTTTAATACTGTTAAATTTTGTACTATAACTCATATTAATATATCAAAAGAGGAAAAACAACCTGGCTATTTAGATGGTTACCAAAAAAAGTATTTTATAAAATTCAATATCCATACCTGCTTTATAGATGGGATTGAAACATCTGTGCCAGAAAGTCAAAAAATAATGTGCACATGTCAAAATGACACAGGAGTCAGCCTGAAGGCTGAATCTGGAACACTTTGAGCATCAAAAAAAAACAATTATGGTAACAGATTGCAAGGCTTTAATTAAAATAGGAGTCCATGAGTCCACATTAATATGAACGAGTGAACGGATGACAGAAAGGAAAACTCTTCTTTACCATACAATGCCAACTAATAAATGTAGAATGAGTTATGGAAATAGATATTCACCACTTGGCAGCCGTCACAGTTGTGGTTGAGTGAGGAGTCATCAAAGGGTGATAAGGCTGGAGGGTGGAGAATTGACGAGGAACAGGATATTGGGGTAGTCTTGAGTATCTCCCCACCGCACACTTATCAAAGACAAAGGAAAAGAGGGTGAGTTCATGGCGGAGAAACCCGGCAGGCACCCAACTAACCTGGTGATCAAGGTGAACCTCACCCTTGGTGGGACAGGCCCGCAGCGCAAGCCCAAAGGGCACCATGAGGAGAGCACAGCCTCCTGCCCTTGATGTTCCTTCCGAGAGCGCACAGCCTGAAAGGGGACACGAGGACGCACTGGAGAGACCCAGGTGGGGGGACAGCCTACAGGATGAACGGCTTGCACCCTATAAGACTGCCAAGGTCATAAAAGCCAGGAAAAGGGCTAAGACTTGTTCCAAACTGAAAGAAACTAACAAAGCATGACGACTACAGGCAGCTCAGAATCCTGACTTGGATCTTAGACCACAAGGCAAATGGGAGACCGTTGGAGAAATCGGATTGGGGTCCATGGACTGGATGATGGCATTAAACTAATTCTGGTTTCCTAATTTGGAGGGTTGAATGATAGTACCGAAGAGAGGATGTTGTTTTGGGGACATACAAACTGGAGTATCTAGGGCTCATGAGGTGTCCTAGGTCTACAACTTATTCTCATGGTTCAGGGAAAAAAGGGTTTATCTACAAATGTATAGAAAGA